GTCTTCGAAAAACTACGACAAGCACGCTGAAACAATCAGCAACACAGTCTTTAGGCTATAACGGTAAAGACAGCTTCACGGCAAAGCACTAGAGTACATCTCCCGACTGTGTTCGGTCGTTCTCGGAATTCAACGTACTCTTGACTCTCTACGCTAGAACTCGCGATGAACTCGACGATAGCCTCAACGATGCACCAACTCGCGATACACTCGACACAGACTGCTCCTCCGCGTACAGGCAGGATTTATATAGCTTTTGGCTTGCCTTCGAGAATATTCTGAGCCAAACCGGTAAGAATTCGTTCCAGAATGTTCTCCATCGGTCTATGGCATATAGCCAATTTTGTCGCCAAATGGGCGATTTCGCGTCAAATCTGGCAACACTGCATTATCTTGCTATTTTCTGGCAACCGTAATTTCTCCTTCCAGAGAAGCTACCTTACCGTAGCTGGACACTTCCTAGCAATATATTTTATCTCACAACATGCGATAGCATGTGAATGCGATAATTTGCTAGCTTATAATTTATACGATAATTTGCTAGGCAATGAGATGAAGTTATTATAATTAGAATAGGTATCTTTGTAACAATGTTAAAAATAATATTGCTAATAAAATAATTAGGAAATGTAAAATGTAAGAGTAAAGAGTAAGCCTGTTTGCGATGTTGGTAAAAAATAGTTTAAAAAATTACTTACCTCAAATAGGAGAATTTTTAAAACGATTTTGGTTGTTAAATATTTATTCAAATTAATTATTGCATCATCATATTCAAGCAATTTATTTGTGATTTTTTTTCAGTATATATGTTTTCCCGAGGCAGGAAACGTAGAAACTGTCTTTCGGTTTCACAAGCAATCGTGCAATAATCTTCATATTTCAGTTAAATGTATAGATCATTGCACCATAGGACCACCAGAGAATAATATAATGTATTACATCATCCTGATATTTTTTATTAATTAATAAACACCGAGAAAGTACATTTAGCTAATATCATAAAATTTTTTAACTAATGTTTCCCCATGTTATTTAAATTGAGTTCTGTTGTTCAAATTCAAATAAATTAACCGAAAATTCAAAAGTAGAAAAGTTTAAACAAATTAAGTAATTAATTAGATTAAAAATTACAGAAGTTGAAAATATTCTTAAGTGCGTACGTGTTCACAATGAATTGATGGCACACAGAATGAATCATATCTTGATCAAATTTGTTTTTCCAAAAGAAACACTTTAAAGTTTTGGAACTTTTCACAAAAGTACTCGTACAGCTCTTCTCAGTATTGATAGACCATGAATAGTATATATTACCATTTCAAACTACTATAAACATTAAACACAAGACAGTATACAAAGCGTAAATCCGTAAGCTCGCTCTCAATGCTCTGAAATGAACTCTGAATAAAACTGAGAACTGATGCATCTTCCAGTCTTATATAGTTCTGCCCTGTCCTCAGGGAAATTTCCAGTACCTCGAAATTACTGGAAGGCATATACAGTTACAGTTACATAGTCCGGGATAGAGTTACAGTTATATAGGGATCGGACCAAAATGTCGCTGAATGGTCGTCAAGGTTGGCAGTTTTAGCGATTTCTCGACAAATTTGGCGACAAAGTTTGTCTCTTAAACTATCGCCAGCTTGGCGCTATCTCGCTACACTGGCGAGATTAAAATATATATAGTATACTGTCTGTCTATGGTACGAACAGCTCTCGCCAGTTTGTCTGCAGCTGTCTGTTGCCGTAGAAACGAGCCCTAACCCATTTTTCGTAGGGGTGCCTGAAGACGTACTCTGGTTTGCCACTTGGGCATTTAAGATGATTTGGCGATATTCACATTTGTTTAGTTTCAAGTAAAATGCTTGTTGACTTTGCGTCGACCCGACATCCAATCCGAAATGAAATTCGATGGCGTAGTAAAGCTTTTGCAGTCAGAAACGGTCTTTGATTTGCCGTGTGAGGTACAAGTGGCTGAATTTCCCATCCCTCTAGATGTACAATGAGTAAAAATAACTTTAGGGAAATAAATTTAAAAATCTGTTTATTTTTGAAGAAAATTTTAATTCGACATTTAAATAATCTATTATTTGCTTCTTTTTGTTTTTTGTTTGCTTGCAAATCACAGATGACATTTAGAAATCTACTTGATTGCCCCATTCTCTTTATATAGTAGACGCACTCATAATATAAATAAATTTAATTTTTATAGTTTTTCCTCTAGCTGATCTACGTGAACATCAAAGCAATTTCTTCATCTTTAAAATGACATTCTTGATATGTTTTTATTTCAAAATTTTCTGATAATTTATTGCGTGTGCTTTAATAATGACTAAAAAATTCATCATTAAATGTATATAGAATCATCTTGAAAGTAAAGCGTTTTTTTTACATACCCTGCTCTCAATAAATACTTTTGCGAACATTTTCTTTTCTCATACTTTAAACTAAACCAAAGGCGTTATTTAATGGCGGAAGGAAGCGAAGGTGAATTAAAATCAAACTGCTTTTTCTTAATTACCAGTGGTTTGGGTTGGTTTATATGATTACGGAAAGCCTCCAAGGTTAAATGCTAAGAGGAGGGATGCCTTCATGGAGGGCTTGAAGGGAAATGGCTGTGCGCCCAAAACCGTATCATGTTGCCAACATTCTAAATTAACTGCTGTCATCCATGTTTCATCGATGTAAACGATGTTGTGGCGTTCCTTGCTTAGTTTTCACTTTCGCGTAAACATTGTTCCTCCCAAATACAATGTAGGTCTTCGATAAGAATTTTTTTTTTTTTTTCTACGCATTCCAACGAAAATTCATGAAACACAAAACTTTGCACAAAGAGTCTTTTTGCCGGGAAGTCTATTTTTTGTGCCTCAAGGAGGCAGAGTATTTCCGCAAGATGGCACTTTCTTTGATGTAAAGTCTTGTATTGTCTGCCGTAGAACGCGTTTGTCAAATCGTCAATTTCACACTTATGATTAGCAGGGCTTTTACATTTCTTTCCAAGTGTATTCAGAAGTTTAATTTTCACCCATTGTTGATACTTTGCTCTTCGAAACTTAAGAGAGAAACTACTAAGAGTTCGCCGAGCTTCAAAACTATACACGATTTGCCGTGACTGCGACTTAAAGGTTGACCTTTCTTAAACTGGAAGGCATGTAAAAAATGGGCGATTAACAAAGCACTACGAAATGAAGCTAAATAGAAGCGAATTTGAGCAAATGCTAGCACAAAAGATATAACAACGAGAATAAAAAGAGCTAATAGTAATAATAAGGCATAAGAAAGATGCGTGCAGCTGGAATGAAGCCGAGAAGACGAATGATAAACTTCCCTTAAGCCAACAGTGGCCAAAAACAAAATAACAATAAAGCAACCCTTGGTTTGTCCCTATTTGAAATATACTAGCCCTGTTGCTATAGCGACCGCCACTCGCCGGACACCGTGGCGGGAGCTGTTCTTACCGTAGACAGACAGTATATTTCTCACCAAATTTTACGAGAAATCATTATCTCAATGTTAAACGGATTTATACCTGTAAACCTATTTTTCTTGCCAATTATTCTTATCTTCAAGCCTTTCTTGTTGCATTGCACCATAGATAAAACAATTTACACATATATTTAACTGAAATAATTTTTTTCGTATAAACAAAGCTCATAGCAATATGAATAAATCATGAAAAAGGCAACAAATACGTTTATTATATACCTTTATTTAAATTTTATTTATTAGTCCAAAGAGGCGGTTTTGTCCCTGAAGGGCTATTGTGTTCGTTTTGCGATTTTGCTTCGATTCACTACAAACGGCGAATCATTTTCCAAACTGTTCCCACAAAGTATTATCGTCCTGTGTTATATTTAAAAAAATTAAATAATGAAAAATCTGCATAAATGTATGCATATATTTTTCGCATTGTGATAAAACAACGGTACATAGAGCCATCGAATTTTGAAGTAATCCCTACGAATATATGGGCATGTGGAGACGAAATTTGAAATTGGAATTTGTTTTATTATCGATTTCCTATTTGTAAAACGTGTAAACTTTTGAAAAACTTTGTAAACTTTTTGTAAACAAAAGAATTTTTGATTAACAAACTCAAGGATTTCAAGCGAGCATGGCACGTGTACAGAAAAAAACATTTTTATCTCCAACGCGTGAGTCCTGTATCGGAATTCTAAAGATATGCTCAATTTAAAATTTTGCCATGTTGCTGTTGAACGAATTTTATGGTTTAAGAGCGAAGACGTGATTTTAATAAATCAATATACACACAAACACAAAAAAAGCCTTTTGGACGTAATTTAAATCTGAAGCATTTCAGATTTTATTTATTTATTTATTTTTATAAAAGTTATTTTTTGAAGGGTGTACGCATAGTGCGTAAATGTCCTTAAATGCTAACGGGGTAAATAGTGTCTCTGTTTGGAATTGTAAAAAGAGAAGCAAAAACAAGAATTGTTCGTGTTTGAATTTTGAGAGGTGCTCAGAATTGCCAGTCAGTGACTGATCATAAAAAATATGAAGCATAATTCCGTGATCGTATTTTTGATAAAGGATCGCATAGCACTGGAATTATTCATGAAATCATTGTATCATGCTAAACCGAAAATCTTACTTCCAAAATCCAATCTTACTTCCTTTTAGATTCATTTGAGTTTCATGCTGTTTCATGTTCATTTTAATGACCAGTAATTTTTCAGATGAATGCTAATTGCACGAAATTTAATTGAAGGAGTGCACATAATTTAAAAATTTTTCGGTTTTCTATTTTCAAATTAAACGTTTAGCTATGATACACTATATAATCCTGATGAAGGGAAAAGGATACGTACTGTTTATTATAATTAAAATTTTATTTGCATTTAATTTTCAGCCGTTTCTAAGCAAATTATTTTGGGGAGGAGTAAACAATTCTTATCAGCATTTAAATATAGGAATTTATAATTATAATAATATACATGTACAGCAATAACTGAAATTTTCCCCTCTTTTTTTTGTTTCAGATATGAAAGACAGTATTTCAAAACATGTTTTTAAACGCATCATTCAAGATTAGATATAAAGAAGGATTTTACTGGTGCTAAAGACGTGATGAAAGAAAGTTCATTGAGTGTACATATAAGAATATGCTATGTGTACAAAAATTTTGTGAATAAAAATGTTTTTCATTTGTGAATATAAGTATTTCATTTAGAAATTACAAAAGAAAAAAAAAAAAAAAAAAAAAAAATCAGAAATGAATACAGAAAAAAAATTAAACTTTTCTAATGAGTAAAAGTAATCTTTAAAAAAGTTAATTAATTTCTACAAATCCTCTAAGTAAGAATAAATTTAAAAAAGGAAAATAGAAAAAGGAAGAAAGAAAGAAAAGCAAGGGACTATTATTAAAGAAAAGATGTTATTCTTAAAATTGGAATTTTTTAGTAGTTAAACAATAACACTATGATTTAATGCAGATAATAATCTTGAATGTTAATTTCGCATATATTTAACTGGTCGTATGTATGTAAATTCCAGGTGTTTAGCATTCTATAGTAATTATGAACGGTATTAAATCAAAAACATTTCTATTAAAAAATGATGATGATATGGTGCTGCCATCTATCGCAGAAACGCATAACAAACAACTCACCTCATTTGATTTTACTTAACATGTCCCATCATTACATGATCTAAATAAGAATCACATCTAAAGAATAAGTAATTAACTATAAATGTTTCATAATACTCAGTTCTGAGATGGTAAAGCAACGTGAGATTGATATTAAACATTGTTTAATTAATAATGGATTTAGAGCGATATGCAAAATGTTTTACTGTCTTTTTATGCATATTTATTTTTGACATCTAAATAAATATTTTGAAAATTATATGTTTTTCTAAACTATAAATTACTCGAAATTATTTAGAGAAGGATTAAAAAAATTAATATTTGTAGAAAATGCCGAATAAAAAACAGTGAGTATGCGAAAGATAGCGAAGGATGTAAATAATTTTTAACATTTCTATATAAAACTTTACGTTTCTTATATCGATTTATGCTCAGAAACTTAAGTCCGTGAGTTAAGCATAAGACAAAAAATGAGAAAAAATGCATCAAAAAGAAACATCACAGCTCGAAATCGTATAAAAACATGAAAAAACTGTCTTTAGAAATAATTTCAAATATAAAATATTCATTTCGTAAAATTTTCGTATTTTAGTTGCAGAATAAAATTAACTACACACTCTAGTTAAATAAAACATGGAAATATTCTAATGACTACGGTACCTGGTGCTTAGAAAAATATCAGAAAAGTCTGCTTGAAACTAATGACTAGATTTAATTTAACATGAATAAATTTGATATTTCCATCATAAATGAAAAGACTATTAGCACTACTTTAGGAATATTATAAATTAAAACATTGTAAAAATTGTAAAATGATGTTATGTTGCGATAAAAATATTTTATCATTTTATTTGATCAACTAATTCTTCTAAAAAGATCGTATCTATTTTATAGTCGTCGGTATAAAACTTGCTTCACAGTCATTTGTTATTTCTTATCAATTAACTTTTGGAATATAACCACGAATGCAAATTGATCCCTGCTACATTCAGATGTATATATATATCTAATACACTTAAAATTAAAGCAATTATATATATTAAAAAGCTATATTATTTTACAAATAGTAAAACTGAATTTTGAACAGATAGAAGGTGCACTAGTGTTACCAACATATACAATATCTGGGGCGAAACATCACATGACTTTATCTTACGGCCTATTAAGTTATACACATTTTTTGCAGCATTTCTTTTAAATTTATTTCATTGAATTCACATTCAATTAATTCGTTTCTCACTTCGCAGCAAGGCAAAAATGCATGAAAACTCGAAGCATCTTCAAAATTGTAAGATAAAGAAAAACAAAAAAATATCAGATACAGTTAAAACAGTTGAAAAAAACAATTTTTACAAATAAAATTAGAATATATACGGAAAAATAGGCAACTCGGCCAGTGGGCAGGAAGACTTTTCTGTGCGCAAAATTGAAGGTTTACTTTTGCTCCCACTCCGCAAAAAGATACTAAAGTTGGGGCACAAACTGACTTAACTTAGTATTCTTCTAAGAGTTTCATATGTAAATAAAAGGCGGCATAGTTTAGAGTAGCACCACTTAAATATTAAACTGTTGATAATTCTACAACTATTAGATGCAGATTAATTAAAGACTTTAAATTTTTATTCGGGACATGAGAACAACATAATTCAATTACATCTAAAGTAAATAATTACCAAAACGTTTCCCAATTACAGTACCACCTTTAATTCGTACAAGGAAGTAAAATCGATGAGTACTACTAGTTGACACGGGTTTCTCACTGAAATGATATTTTCAAGGTTTTCTTCACATATAACGTTAACATGAGTCTACTTCAGAAAATCCTCCACGAAAGTCCATTAAGCAGACTAACAGGATAAGGTATAATCTAAGTATTCAAACCCAAAGTGCAAAAACACAGCGACTGCATTATTCAATGAAAAATTTTTAAATTATCTTTAGAAAATACTTTAGAAAAAACTTTCAAGTAATAACAAAGAGCCTTAATAGAAGAATGAAATAATGTTTTTGTTATACGTAAGCAAGTATCGTGTAATCATGAACTTGTAAAATTATATGCGTTTTTTCGTGTTAATACTAATAACAATTTTAAATAATTTATTTAAAGTTATGAAATCGCAGTTGTAGCATAGCAAATTGAAACCTAAACGCAGATAGAAATTCAGAAATAATTTGCATAGATTGAAATCGCAACAATACATACGTATTATTCCGAATATCTTTCCGTTAAAGGTAAACGTAAAGTTTTAATCCATATAAATAACACGTATCATACACTGTGTACCTGCACCTATGCTTATGAAATTTTGTGTTAATTCTTTATACTTTACTTTCAGATTGCATATAAAGAAATAATGCATCTTTTTGCATTAAATTTCCGGAAAAATAATTTGCTTGCATTTATAACAGGTTTCTTTGAAATGTTATGAATAAACTAAACATTATAAAGGTAAATTGACAAGTTGGTTCAGCTAAAGATTTAGAAGTTCCAGACATTATTTCTAGCAGAATGACTCGAATAAAATACAGACAAAAAATAGTTAAATGCAGTTTATGCAGCTCTGTTGGCGAGATCACTAGTGATCGAGGGGTAAAGTCAATGAAAACTAGTAATTCGACCTGGGTTTCATTCAAAGCAAATAGATTGGTTGGGCGTTTTCGTGGTTTTTCCACGTGTAACGTGATCACAAGCTGACTTCCCTTTGATGATTCTCCATGAAGGCATGCATCTCTTCTCTTAGGCAGAGAGCCCTCCGAAATCAATGTCGCTGTTATTGGTCGGATTTAATTCACACTTAAAAAAGGTATTATGAGACGTTGTCAACCTTTTTAAGGAATTAAGAACTAAATATATACAATATAGCTGATGAGGTCTAACATTGATCGGAAAAATAGTAAATAAGAAAATCAGATTAAAATCTTTGTAGTTAAAATTATTACTTTAAAAATTATATGTGAAATCTTAAAGGGCTAATAAAGTCATTAGATCCTTAGCAATGAAAAATGTTAGAAAAAAGCATTATTAGTACAAAGGGGCTTTGTCCCTGAAGGACTATTGTTTTAATTTTGCGATTTTACGTGGAATCACTATAAATGTCCGTTTCACTTTTCAAACTGTTGCCACCAAATGTTAAGAACATTATATTTGAAGAAATTAAATAATGAAAAATCTTCATAAATATATGTATATTTCTCGCATTGTGATAAAAGAACGATACATAGAGTCATCGAATTTTGAATGACGTAATCCTACTATAAATATGGGCATGTGGAAGCCCAAATTTGAAATTTGGAATTTGTTTAATTATCGATTTCATATTTTGTAAAACTTTAACAAATTTTTTAGTAACAAACTCAACGATTTGTAAGCGAACAATGGCAATAAACTACGGGGGGGGGCGGAACCTTTTTGTCTCCAGCGAGGGGAACTGTGTATCGGAAATTCTAAAGATAGGCTCATTTTAAAATTATTTTGCGACAGTGCTATTGAACTGAAATTTATGGTTTAAGTGCGAAAAACATTATATTTGATAAATAAAGGTAACACACGAAACGTTAAAAAAACGCCCCTTTGGACGTAATTTAAAATTCGAAACATTTTTTTTTTTTTTTTAATTTTTGATTTCGTATATCAAATCTGTATACACAGAAAACTTGCTAATTAATAGATCGTTAACAAGAAAAGATAGACTAAGCGAAATCGAGTCATGCAAGTGCAATAAACAATGATAATAACTTTGATTTATCCATTAATTAACAAAATTTTGAAATAAAAATGTAAAGAAAAAATAGCCAATAAAGCTAATAAATAATCGATTATTTACATTTTTACTTGATGTGTAAACATTTGACTGAGTTTCTATTTAAATAACAATAATTGTATAAATTTAATTTATTTCGTAATTTCTTTCTTAGTCTTTCTTTTAATTTTAATCTGAAACTTGAAGTATAAGCTAGATACAATAGAACGTAATAAGAATTTTTCTATAATCGAGAATCAACCCGGCGTTCCTTAGAAGCACTTTTTTTTAAATTACTGCAAAAAGAAAGATGTTTATAATTTTTTTCAAACTAATGTAATGTTTAAAAATTTTATTAACAAAACATAGATATATTAATTTTCAAATTGTGCTATCCCATAATTGTCGACTTTTCACATTTTATATTAAATTATTGCATATTAACTCTTGTTTGTCACCGCCTCCGTAATGTTCCCTCAGCTCTTTTGTTTTTAATCTATTTTGAAAATACTGTTGGATTTAAAACATATTTATCGCTGGAGACGAGACAAAAAAAAATTAGCTCAAAGTGGGAAAGTCACTTTAACTGATTAATTACTCGCGTAAATCGAAAAATAATATCATTTCATTTTGTCCCGCTAATTGATTATTGCGCATATCGAATTCACGTTAAGCCGGGATTTAATGTAATTAATTGAAAGAAAAAGGAAGTTGCATCAACACTAATACTCGTAAATGATAAGAAAAAGATTCTGCTTTCTTCGTAAATAATAGCCGTTAACTTAATATCCAAGCTGGGATATTAAAAAATCCAATTATGAAA